CAGGTTCGATTCCGGTCAAGGGCATGTACCTTGGTCGTGGGCACATCCCCAGTGGGAGGTGTGCAGGAGGCAGCTGATCGATGTTTCTATCTCATCGATATTTCTAACTCTCTATCCCTCTTCCTTCCTCTCTGTAAAAAAAACCAGCCCTTGAATCTGACACTTGTCTGTGGTGTAAATTTGGAGAGCTGACTTCATTTCTCAGATACTGATGTTTTTCAGCAATATGATATGAGTTTCTAGTTGTCCAGGTTGTTGTGAGAATTAAGAGAGAAAATGCTCAAAAATCTAACCCTGGAATCCTGGCAACAAGTACTCACCTTGTTCCTTGTATTGATCTGGGAAGGCCAGAGTAAGCGCCATCAATCATCTGCATGTCACATTCAGCCACCTGAGACTCAGGGAGCTCTAGTGAGTCTGCTGGACATTCCCAGGTGGGGCCCACCACAATGACACCTGAGTGCCCACAGCACCTGCCTCCCTGCAGCAGAGTCAGTGGCTTCTTGTAGGTCCCATTTCTTATTAAAATGCACCCAAAGACAAAGGTGCTTGTGGGCATGAGGGGAGTGAGAAGTGCCTACCTGAGAATGTCTCAACAGGGAGAGGCTGGAGTTGCAAGGAGACCGAGACTGAGGAAAATCAATGCTGAGAGAGAATCATTGATCAGCTGCCTCCTGCATGCCCCACACTGGGGATGAAGCCAGGACGCAGGCATCCTCCCTGACTGTGAATGGAACCATGACCTCCTCATTCATGGGTCCATATGGAACCACTGAGCCATGCCAGCTGTCTTCTCAACAATCGTGTTCCTATCTCTCGCTCCCTCCCCCTTGTTCTATGAAACCAATGAAAATATTTTTTAAAATCAATTAAAATATTTATTTAAGCCCTAACCGGTTTGGCTCAATGGATAGAGCATCGGCCTGTGGAATCAAGGGTCCCAGGTTCGATTCCGGACAGGGGCATGTGCCTTGATTGCGGGCACATCGCCAGTGGGGAGTGTGCAGGGGGCAGCTGATCAATGTTTCTCTCTCATCGATGTTTCTAACTCTCTATCCCTCTCCCTTCCTCTCTGTCGGGCGGCGAGGCAGGCCTGCCCCGGAAGACCCAGAAGCGGGGTGGTGAGGCATCCAGCGCAGTCGCTCCTCTGTGTCGGGAGGCAGCTCTTCACCTGGAGGCCTAAGCCCAAGGTGGGAGGCGCCATTTTCTATATGGAAAGGCAGGGGGAGTGGCTAAGCACAAGGCAGCTCAGAGCCTGGAGGCTCTATGTCCGGAGAGACCAGTGCTGAGGCGGGGTGTTCGCCTCAGGATGCGAGCGGCGGGAGAGGAGCGCGAGGTAGAGGAGTTGCAGCTTCAAGCAATCGAAGGAAAAGGGCAGGTTGGCCAGCTGCGACGCCATTCCAAGCTTCTCGGCCCAGGTTTTCAAATGTAAATAGTACTTCAGATGTAGTTGCACGTAGTTTATTCCCTTCCCCTCATCTTGGCTGTTAAAGTCATGTCCACCCCCTGGGCAGTCAGGCCTCATGTTCATGGCACAGACGAGGTTTAGTTCTGGGGTCACCCCTTAGATTTTAAGCAGCCGCTACACTTGGTCGATAGGAAGAGTGAGACTTTAGCCCTGAAAAGACGGAAGGCTTGGGGCAGACGGTTCCCTCGAGGGCTCAGCCCGCTTTCGGGCCGTAGGCACAGGGAACGTCCAGGGCAGCCCCCGGAGCAGGCGTCCATCTGAGCTCCGACGAGGCCGTTTTGCAGTGTCCCTTTCCTCCGTCCCACGTGGTGGGGGCCATGACTGCCTCGAGGGTGCTCCCTGGAAGCCATTCTCCCCTCAGCATGTAGCTGAAGAGAATCTTTTTTTGTGCCTCATGTTAAAAAAAAAAACAAAAAACAAAAAAAACCGAACAGGTGCGGGACTCCTCACTGTGTTCATTTGTAAAAGAAAAAAAAAATGCTCTTAAGACCCCAGGTGGTGAGGCAGCCTGGCCCCAGAACACCCAGAAGCCGCCTGATATAGTAGTAACTATATCACTAAGCACTCTGAAAGTCAGTGGCATAAATGCACCAATTAAAAGACAGATTATCGCCAAAACCGGTTTGGCTCAGTGGATGGAGCGTCGGCCTGCGGACTGAAAGGTCCTAGGTTCGATTCTGGTCAAGGGCATGTGCCTGGGTTGCGGGCACATCCCCAGTGGGAGATGCGCAGGAGGCAGCTGATTGATGTTTCTCTCTCATCGATGTTTCTGACTCTCTATACTCTCTATCTCTCTCCCTTCCTCTCTGTAAAAAATTAATAAAATATATTTAAAATAAATAAATAAAAGACAGATTATGAGGGCGAATCAAAAACAAAACCCACTTTAAATATAAAGACACATATAGATTAAAAGTAAATGAATTAACCTGCAGCCTGTTTTTCTCAGTTAATAGAGCATTAGCCCATGGACTGAAGGGTCCCAGGTTCGATTCCAGTTAAGGGCATGTACCTCAGTTGCTGGCTTGATCCTCAGTCCCTATCAAAGCATGTGCAGGAGGCAACCAATCAATGTGTCTCTCCCTTTCCCTTCACTCTCTCTAAAAT